GCACCAATGCGAAGAGGAGGAGAATGATACGGAAGTGGTCATCAACTCCGGTGTACTACGGAAGTGAAGTGGTCATCATCCTCCTTGAGGATCTGAAGTGCTCGCAGTCGGAGAGGAGATGTTGGTCGCGGTCGAAGCGGGCCATGATGAGGAGGCGTACGCACAGTATGGTGTTGATACGCGTATGGTCGAAGAAAGAGTGCCCGATGTTTGGATGGTCGAGGATGAATCCTTGAGGACAAGGAAAGTCTCGAAGAGGAGGGGGATGATACGGAAGTGGGTTTTGGACCCCTGTGACAAGAAGGGCCGAGGGCCAAGAGGACTCAAGGAGGCTGGAAAAAGGGCCAAAACGACGCATGCATGGCCTAAAAGATGGGTACGAGCTCGTATGTGAGACACTCACGCACATGAGAAGCGGCGTGTACAAGGCAGTAGACAAGGGCGCGCACTCACGCAATGGCGTAGACGTGTATGGCGTTTGGAGAAAAGGCGAAGTGGCGCGCACGGGGAGGTTGTTGGGTGGATGGCGCGCAAGAGGGACTGCTATAGATGGGAAAGCACGAGCGATGAATGCGCATCGTGCCATGATGTGCGCGAGTGGTCGGGTGATCGTGCGAAAGATGCACGGGCGATAGGCGTATGGGTCAGCGAGCGCGGGGCAGGGACGCGCAAGTTGACGGGCGAATGCGATGATGGCGCGGAGGCCTCGAGCGTGGGCAGCAACCGCGGAGGTGGTGGGGACGCGCGGGAGCAGGCCAGCGGAGATGTGGCACGCACATTGGCGCGCGAGTGGATCGGCGACGCGGGCAGAGACCGAGATCGAGTGGGCGTAGGAGTAGCGGGCTGGGACACACACGCGCAAGGGACGCGCGACGAGCGCACGGTGCAGGCCAGCGGGCGCGATTGGGATGCAAGCACGGATTACCCTTGCCGCGCGGGACTAGGCGTAGCGAAGACGCGTGCGTGGTGCGCGCGCGATACAACGCGCACGAAGAAATAAGGGCCGAAGAGTTTGGAAGGCAAAAGAAGACTTGGGCATCAAGATACTTGGTGTGCAAGACAATTAATTAGTATTTTAGTTATGTTAGGATTTTATTTCCATATTG